CGTAGTAAGGATGAGCTATCCCGAGGGTGCCCATGCATTCTTGCCTCCTCGGTCCATCCTTGGCTACTCTCGCTGGCTGCGCCCCGCTCGAAAAACTTCGAAATGGGTGTTCAACGCCTTCGCATCCTCATCGCGCATCCTTATGATACGGGTTGCATAGCTATGTAGCAGACGTGCGACTTGGGCATCCACAAAGGGGAGCCGATCAGGGGTGTATCACGGGCCCACTCGCTTCCAGATGTGTGCCCACTTTGGTAGAACTCTTGTAGTGATACCCTAATGTCCTTTCGTGTCGTAGCCTTCTTATTCATCGCGATGCGACGTAGCAGGCGTAGCCTTCGGGCACCAGATGGGGGAATCGACCCAGGGCGCATCGCGGTCGCCATGGCCCTCCCATGCCCAGGCCCGTCCTCAATCAGAGCCAAGTGTGCTCAGTTGCCCAGTCTCGGTCTGTTACTCAGGCGGAGAATACGCCAGAAGAAAGACATGTACAGACGGGGCGGTCCAGAAAGGGCCTCGCCTCCGTGGACCGAATGGATTGGCCCCTCTTCCCCGCCAGAGGGCGGCGGCAACCGGCGGGCGCAAGACGAGGCAGCCTCCGCCAGCGGAAGCCGGCAGAAAGGCTGGTAGTAGCTTCGGCGGTTCGAGGCGTTCTGTCACAACGACGGTCGAGACAGGTCGCAAGTCCTGGCCAGCCCTCTTTCATCCGTCGGCCGCGCCACGTCGGCTGCTGGGCCCCGAGACGGGGGGGCATTTCCTAGGCCACGGCGAGGTTAGCGCGGGGTGCCCGACACGCGAGGACGCGAAACTGGCGCCGTTTGCGCTGTGGGCGCTGGACGAAAGGGCGCGAGGGCAATGCGTCGCAAGCTTGCCCTGAGGCGAGCCGTGAGGTTGGCGCTGGTGGCGGATGCGGCTCGGTATCGCGGACGCACGCGCGGTCGTGCCACAGCCGTGCAGTTGGCCACCACCGAGATGAATACATCGATGGCCCAACTACCCCGCGACCAAGGTGAAGTACGGGGAGCTCGTGAGGCTGAAGGGGGGGCACTGCAATCAGAAGGGCCAGATGAAGGCTCGCACGTTGAAAGTCTGGAGTTTCAGCGCGGAGGTGCTGAGGAGGGTGGGCAGTTTAGACGAGGTGCTGGAGATGGCCAAAGGGGGGGCGACGCCATCTCCACGATGCAGGGGGCGCAGATGGACCTCAGGAGGACTTTGAAATCGGGCCAGTTCGAGTTGCACTCCTTGGCTCGTTCGGGCAAGGGTCACGCGGGGCGGGCGCCTGATTGCCCTTCGCTTGAAGTGCTTCCGGCCGACGGAGGTCAGATGCGAACGCGCGTGGATGGAAGGGAAAGTGCCAGGGTCAGGCTGAACAGTATGTCCAGCAAGCGGTGCGAAAGGATTTGTACATCTTGAACGTGCATGCCGCAACCAACGACCGTGGAAATGCACCGAACGGGGCTGGCCCGAACGAGCACCGCGAAATGCACCTGGGGGCGCGCGAGAGATTCGGGCAGGCATGTCGTAGCGTGGTCAGCGAAGTTCCAGCGGGTTCGGCGCTGGTGATCGCGATGGGTGCCAATGCTCATGCACCGCCTCACTTGCCTCGGGTATGACGCGCTGGTGTGCGAGGAGCAGGACCGATGATCAATGCGAATGGGCGTGCCCTGATGGAGCTGATGGAGGACTGCGGGATGAGGGTCTCAACACGTTTGGCAGGAAAGTAAGATTCAATGGCGCGTGTCCTAGCCCACAGGGTAGGTGGACAAGGATCGTTTCGCGTTGGTGCGTAGGGAAGGGGTGTACGGTCGCAGGTCGAAGCCGAGGATGGACTCCCATCAGTTTGGGTTGTTGCAGAGACCGCGGGCCGCTCGGGACCCGCGAATTCGCTGGGGCCAGATCCGGGCCTCAGAGACAAGCTGGGCGATGCAGATGGCGGCGAGAACTCCCGCTGGCGGGCCCCGCGAAGGCCCAGATGGCGCAGGGTGACGACGGGAGCGCGGCGCAGGCGCCCGATCGAGTTGTTCAATTCCGGGGCAGGGCGCAGGCAGGCCTTGTGGGAAAGATGTTTCATGATGACTGGGCCGACATGAGGGGGAATGCGTGAAACGCTCACAGCGCACTTCGCGGCCCTGGAAAGAGTGATGGTCGACGTAGCGCTGCAGTGCTACATTGGGCCCCGCCGTCAAGAGTAGTTGCGGGGGGCCAGTGTCCGACGAGCTTGCGACGAAGCTCATCAAGACGAAGCAGCATTGGCAAGAGCAGCTCAGCGCAGTGTCCGATGGAGCCCACTGGCTGAGGAATTAGACCCAGGTAAATTTCAACGGAGCATCGGGGGCAGCAGCAGCGGCGGCGATTAGAAGTGAGAAGAGGCAGAGAAAGGCAGACTTGGCGGACGTGGCAGAGCAGGCCGCTGGCCAGAGGAATCTGAGAAGGCTCCACACGATACTCCACAAGTGTACCCCGAAGCCACCGGCCCCCGTCAGGATTCTGACCGGCCCCGCCACGTGGCTGCCGCGCTTCGACCCGGAGCATCACAAGCGACGAGCAGGGGCGCATTCAGAATTTGTGACCTGCGTGACGGACAGGCGATGGCGCTAGCGTGTGCCCCACGGCGAACAGGCGGAGTTGAGGAGATGAGCAGGCAATGCGATTACGACGACGTCACGCAGTGCATCAGGACTCCCCCCCAATATATGGTGGGCGGACCGATGCTTCAAAGGTGTGGCCCCCTGCGGGCGGCGGTAGCAGAGACGTTGGTGCCGACGATTGACGCGGTCTTGGCGCCGCGGCACCAGGTATGCAACTCGTCCCAGGCGCTAGGTGCTGCCCCGCAGAGGTTCATGGGCGGCGAGACGACGCCGTTGCGCAAGCCGAAGGGTGGCGGAAGCTCGGCGGCGAACGACTACAGGGCCATCGATCGAATTGGCCACGTGGGCATAGCGCTCGCGAGGGTGACCGCGCCAGGTGCGTCGCGATGAGTCGCTCGCAAGGTACCACCCACGAAGCTCGGAGCCATGCCAAGGAGAGGCGCTCGTAATGCGGCGGGGGTGGTCCTGGAGACGATCGTACCGCGCCAGGGCGCGCGGTGTCAAGTCGAGAGGATAGTCGGCGGGCGCGCCGCCCATGCTCTCGGCCAGGTTGACAGACCCGGAAAAGGCTTTTGACAGCGCGAATAAGCAGCATGCGCGGAACTGCCCGGCGGCTGCGCGGGCGAGTGACGACGCGAGGATGACAGCGGGGGATCTCTACGAGGGCATGTGCTGCTTGCACAAATCTCCCCACGCGTGAGCCCGCGGGTAAGATGTGGGCCAGGAGAGGCGCGAGAGTGGGGGCAAAGGAGAGCCTCGGCCTCTCCGTCGCGTTCCACGACCGCTCGGCGGCGAACCTAGCGGCGGCGCAGGAGGCCCAGGAGCTCCAGGCTATCAAGGCACACTCCCCCCCCGCACTCGGGAAGTCCAGGTGCGCGGTGTCTTGGAGGCATAGCGCCGCGAGAACATCGACGCGCTCCACCTCGTGATCCTAGACGACCGGCTCTCCTCTGCGGATGTACACGAAGATTCTGACGCATCGAATTTCTTGGAGATCGCGACGGGGGATATCCGCCGCGGAGGATTGCAGGTCACTTGGATAATGACAGAGCTCTTCCTTACACCGTCTGGAGTTGGCAGCAAGAGGACGTCGACGCGCATCAAAGCCTGCGCTGCGGGCGTTTGCGCGGCAGGATGGCGATTGCATTCCGTCGCCCCAAGGCGCGCGTCAAGTATCTGGGCGCGCGGCTGGGGGCCACGGGCGCGCGCCCGGTGGAGGTCGCCAGCGCGACCCGGGCAGCGAGCGCCCCGCGTGCGCGGCCACTTCGCCGCGCATCGGGTTTCAGCCCAAAGTTGAAGATCATATTGTGGAAGGCGCTGGTGGGGTCGGCGTGCATCCACTGCCAGAAGATGCGCGATCATGCAATAATGGAGTTGGATCGGCTGCGGGCGCGGCAGATTTTTACAATCCGCGGGCCACCGCGTTCTTCGGCGCACATCGTCAAGAGGCCAAATCGTAGGATTCGACGTGCGACGAGGGCCCAAACGGCGACGGGCGCGTTGTTGTCGCGACGGCCGGGGTGGTGGAGGCAGGCATTGTGGCGGGCATTCCGAGTGCCAAGCGAAGACATGCAAGACCCCGCGCCAGCCGTCCACGCGACCTTCTTCGGGGGTTTCTCGTTCGAGGCGGAGAGGGCCAGGGGGGCCGTCGGGCATGCTGTCGCCGTTGGTGGGCGGTGGGCGCGCGCGAGCAGCTTGAGACGCGCCGCCGTTTCCTGATGCGCGGCGAACAGCCAGGGCTGGCCAAGGCTGAGGTGGCTTGCGACAGTGGAGCCACGGCGCTATAGACGCAACCTCGCCGTTGGGGACGAATCAGACACGACTGCTGAGACCCTGGCCGCCACTCGGCTGGAACATGACGCGCGCGGTCGCATATTCAACGGAGGGCAGGGACCGGCCAATCATAAGCACGCTGCGCACGCAATCTACGCCAGGCCAACGGGGCTATTGCACGACGACGATCTCAAACTGAAGAAGGGCCCGTTCTGCGAGCGAGAGTTCGCTGGGAAAGACACGTTCGCCATGCGCGTTCGTCAGTGGCGAAGCCCAGCGCATCCTGGCGGCGCCGCGGCTCACCGCGGGAAGGCACCCTTTTTCCGCGGCCCCCCTTGCCCCCGCTGGGTCGGGCGCTGATGTTCCAGCCGATCGCAGAGGCGAAGGCGGTGCCGACGGGGGGCCAAACGAGGGCGCCTGCTGCAGCGGGCGCGGGGGCCGAGACAAAGGGAGAGGCGAGCGACATCGTGGGTCTGCTGGGCAATTCATTGGCGAGGCTGGTGCCACGGCGCGAGGACACCGCAAGGGCGCCGCGCCGCGACGGCAACTTCGCCATCCCGCCCAACCGCAGGGCAAGATGGTGGCGGCGAGGGAGAAGGCGCAGGAAACGGGCCTGGACTTAATGGGCAACCCGCTGGGCAAAAGGCCATTTGGGCTCGCGAGAACGGCCGTCTTCCGCGTCGCGGAGGTTGCGGAGACCAACGAGGCACAAGTGGTGGCGGCGGCAGAGTGGAGCCGCAGGCGGCGAAGCAGGCGATCGAGGTGGTACTCGGAATTGGCAAGCTGGTGCAGGACCCATCGGTGCAGTTCGTGGCCACGAGGTTCTTCCGCGTGATTGTCAAGGACGGGGCGGCCGGCGACGAGGCCGCGGGCGCGTGAGAGGTGAAGTGGATCTTCGCAGCCAACCGCTACACCACTCTAAAAGAGGAGCTGAAAAGGTCCTGAGAATGAATGGGGCGCTCGTAGCAGCGGGCATTCAGGCGCAACTCGAAATCGCCACTGGAGGGCGGTCAATTACATGGCGGCGTTGGCCTTCAAGGGGGGCAAGGGCCTCGGGCAGGGGTGGGAAGACATTGAAGAGGAAGTGAGTGATATTGTTGTGGCCTCGCTCTCCCCCCCCCCGTCGGATCTTTCCTCCCCTTGCGCCCCCAGTGTCCCCTCCAGGCCCTCTGCCAGTAGGCGAGCGAAGCTCGAAGAGTATTCCAATTTCGGGCCGCGCTGAAGTGTGGGGGCCAGGGCAGTCCTCTCCACAGGAGGGGGAGGGGGGCGCCAGTGCAAGTGCCACCCCTGCGGAGGCGTGGGTGCGCGGGAGCGGGGCTGGGGCACAGCTGCCCCGTCGCCCCGTGCCCGCCTTCCCTTCGGACACCGGCCACCGGCCGACTTCGGGTCGCGCCGCGCAGTTTTCGAGCGGTTGCTCTGTCGCCTCCGCGAGACTTTTTGGGCAATGGGAGTAGCGATGACAAAGACTGAAGGCCAGCACCAGGCAGTGGAAGTAATAATTTGCGCCACCAGGAGATCGCAACCTGGGTGGGTTCAGGGTTTCCGGAACACGCCATCCGGGAATCTCGCAGTCAGCTTCCCAGACATGCGATGTCCCGATTGTTTCAGTTCGGGATTCCCCGAAGTCCGACCCATTCCACGGGTTTTTTCCAGAGTGTAGTTTTCTAACGGTCGCAGGGCCCGGCGATGGCCCCCAGAGGCTCAAAACAAAAATACAAATCCCGTCGCGTTTTTCCACGACGTAAACATGCTTGGGTATGCTTGTCCTCATTCGTGTCCGCCCCTGCGCTGGGCGCGCCAACCGAGGCCGGCGATGCGGTCAGCCGGGAGTGGTGCCGGGAGTGGTGGCTCCGCATCCTGCGCAGCCCGGACGTGAACGTCCAGCTGCTCGGCGTCGAGGCTCGGCCTGCGCGGGGGGGGGAGGCTCCACGGCCGCAGGTGCTGTTGGTCCGAGGCCCCAGGCCTCTCGGAGTGGGGTCCGAGTATCGGGCGGACCAAAGCGGGAGGATAGGGGAGGGGGGCGGTAGGAAAGCTGCCGCATGCAGCTGGTTTCCGCTTTCGGCCCCGCCGCCTGGCCCGTTCTTCGATACATGGGCGCATCCCGGCGCCAGGAGGCGCCAGGAAGACCGGCCTTTTGTAGGTTGGACGTCTCGAGCTCCAGGAGCGACAGAAGGACGGACACGTGCATTAATCCACGTCGGTTCGAGAGTACGCGTTGCGCGAACGTTCGTATCACGATGCTGGTCTCGAGGGCTGGGGGGCCGTGTTCATGTACGTGATTGGGCGCGTGCGTCCTTTGTGAGCTCCCTAAAGCTCTCCGCCTCCTTGGGCCGTGTGCGTTCAGCGCGAAAACACAGCAGAGTCAGAGGAGAGCGTGGCATTTACAGTGTAGCTTCGCACGCGTGGCAGATGCTCTAACGAGCAAGAACACAGCAAAGCCCCAGGACAGCGAGGCATTGACAGTGCAGCTCAGCGGAGGATCGCGCCGCATCGCCGATAGGCGATGCGGCCCGACGTAGGGTCCGATTTTCGCCACGCCGACGGCGCCGATGCATCGCCGAAGTCGCCGATTTTTCGACGGTGTATCGCGGATGCGGCGCCGAATCATCGCCGATGCATCACCCATGCGGCGCCGATAATGCATTGGCGATGCATTGTCGATGCGGCGCGATCCTCCGAACCCATCTTTTCCGACCCCATCTAGGATGCCCCTGGAGGCTGGAGGCGTACATCCACCGCCTGGGGATCCGATGCGCCAGGACTCCAGGAGGCGGCGGATGTGGACATTGCCGGGCCCCCGGGGGGAGGCCCAACGATGGCCCACCGCCCCTCATGGGGTTCTAGAATCGGTTCCCCAGGCGGTGAACATGCATTGCAGCCGGGCACCCCTCGCGCGCGTCGTTACAAATTACGATGGGGGTTGTTTTACAATGTTCTGTGTCTGAGTGCCCTCACCGGGCCCCTGGGGCTGTCAGAAAACAATTTGGGATTGAGCGCCAGACCCAGGACATGGGTCTAGGCCTCAGAAGTTCCACATTCCTGAATTTGAGAGTTTGCTGTGACGATTCGAAAGAAACAAAGAGTGAGGAGGAGGAGGAGGAGGAGGAGGAGGAGGAGGAGGAGGAGGAGGAGGAGGGGAGGAGGGGGAGGGGGAGGAGGAGGAGGAGGAGTAGGAGGAGGTGGAGTGGGAGGGGCAATAATTGCCAGAAGGTGAGCTGTGTGGTGCTCCACTTTAGCAGCGGGCCTTGCCGCACGCGGTCCACGAAGCAGCCTTTTGTAGAGTCGCTGTGCCGCGCGGGGCCGCCGCTATTTGTCTTTCTTCTGGTTGGAAGCCTGGGCCATGGCGGAGTGGTCAGGGATCGAAGCCTTCTCCGAGGCTTGGAGATTCTGCGCACGCGAGCTGCCGATCGCGTGCCAGCAACCGCCCCGCCACGAGCGCAGCCTGGGAGGCGGCCACCGCGCCGCAGCCCGAGCAGTGCCAGAGCCGCCACGCCACCCGAAAGCGCGAACAGGTGCAAAGGTAAAGCGGCCGAGCGTGATGGCGCCGGGACGGCGCCACCTGCGGGGCGCGTTGCGGCTCCCGCTGCGCGGCATCAAGGGTGAGCGCGCACAGCCGCCTGTGGACCAGGTCAGCCCGCGCCTAGGAGTCCAGAGGGAGGAGGAGGAGGAGGAGGAGGAGGAGGAGGAGGAGGAGGAACACTTTCGACCGTTTTGACCACTCACGAAGCCCCAACGCATGCCTTCTTTGGGTGAAGCACCTCCACCTGGACTTGGAGCTGACGCCCCTAAGCCACATGACCATACACCACCCAAACGGGAGGCACCCCCGCGGACGACGGGCACTGCTCTCGTCTCCCAGCCGTCCGCAAGCAGCTGCGGGCGGTGCCCCGTCGGGCACAATCACAACACAACTGCTCGGCCGCGTGGAGCTGCCACGTGGCACACACAAACACACACACACACACACACACGATGCGCATAAGCAGCGCCGAATAACTGCCCAACAAATTGACGCCTCATTTCTGCCCATCGGCAGCACTATGCACCTCTGGCGACCGTGGGCCTGGTCCCAGGGCGAATTTCACCCTACGCTGCACACACCATGTCCCGCCTGGCAGGCGCATGGAAGCAGTGCTCCTTGACTGCGTGGGAACACGGCTGCGTCCTGGATTCGCTGCGTACAGGCACGAAGGACCGCCTTTGGGGGCTCCTCGCGCTGGTGAAACAACCCCTTCCAAATCTAAGGCAATTTTTCAGTACCCTTCCTCGTCTCCCCAGGGCTCTTCGAAGCCACGTGGCGCAGGCCGCCCGTGTTGTAACTCCCGCGCACGTGGCAGGAGGTGATGCAATATTCAGTCCAATCGGCCAGAACGTGCTAGACATGCAGCGCTTCGCCGCACGGGGGAAAAGCCTCCGCCAGCCGTCGCCGCCGAGCTGGTCTCAGCAGTAGCAGGTCCAGTGCAAGGCGTGCATCAGAACCGGACAAAGAGCAGCGGCTCTGCACCAGGCCCGCTGGAATGTTGGCAGGCCCGGCCTGGCACTGCACAGTCCGACCAGTCTGCGAGGTAGCCCAACATTATTTGATTTCTAGCTTCTGGAACGCATCTGCGCATCTGCGCGAATGAAAAAAAAAGAGCAGCGGCTCTGCACGAGTCCGTGGCACCTCCGGCGGGCCCGCCCGCTGCCACGCCGCGCCAGCAGGTGTGGGCACTTCTCTGCCAGTGCCAGGGCGGGCCAGCGGGCGGACTGGCCGCCGTGGGCCCGGACGGGCGCACGCCTTCCGTTGGCGTCGGCCCCCGACGCCAGGTGGAGCGCCTTCCGCGCGCGAAGCTCCTCCTCCTCCTCCTCCTCCTCCTCCTCCTCCGCCTCCTCCTAGGGCGGCGATGGGATCGAACTCGTCCGTGCGAGGCTCACGGCCAACCACGCCGGCCTGCCAGCCTGTTGCGGCCGCCTGCCCCGCCTGCGCACGTGCTGCGGCATTGCCAAGAGGGCCGGGAAGAGGGCGCGCGAGGGGGCGAGAAGGTGGGCGTGCTCGTCGGCATGCGACGCCGCCCCTCCGACCCGTGTCTCCCCCCGCTCCTGGAGTTGCCATCGCCTCCCGCGCCCGCTGCCACAGATCCTCGTTAGCGGGGCTGCGGTCGCATGGGCTTGACAGGCGATCCCCCCAGGCACGCTGCAACAGCTAAGGAGGAGGGGAAGGAGGAGGAGGAGGAGGAGGAGGAGGAGGAGGAGGAGGAGGAGGAGGAGGAGGAGGGGGAGGGGGGAAGAATGAGGAGATGAGGCTGGCACGCCCTTGGTGGGATACTCTACTTTTCACGCGCTCTGTGCCTGTCTTCTCACTGCTGCGTGCTGAGGTTTTTGTGTGTCTTTCACCTCGCCTGAGTCGGATGTTTCCCCAATAGCTTTTCGCTAAAGGGTTCTAACAGTCCCACCAGCCCTCCGGGCGACAGGTGGTCTTACATTGTCTTTTCCTCTTCCACAAGCACTTGTTCCCCTTCGAGGACGGGTTTGCCCCTTTCCCTTTCCCCTCCCCTGGGCGTGGACGGGGGGGGGTCGCGAGGGGTTGGAGCGTCCAAGATGGCTCAAGATGGCTCCAATATCGGTCAATATAGCCCAACATGGCTCAATGTAGCTAACAACATGCCTCCAAGACGCCCCAAGAAGGCCACAAGACGGATCCAAGTGCTTTGGGCGATCCCTCAGGACCTCCCAGAGAAGTCAAAGTCAGCATCCTTCAACAACGTAAGGAAAGCCAATGATGGTTGCCTTCTCACCTTTTCGCTTCCGATGCGCTTGTGAGGCCCCAGGATGGCCCTCAGGTTGCCCAAGAGAGCTCCAAGAAGAGCCCAATAGACCCCAAGACTGCCCCACGAGCGCCCAAGATTGCCCCAAGAGCACCCCAAGAGGCTATTTCGATTGCCCAGGAGGGGGGAGGCAAATTGAGGACCCCACCTCCGTTGATCGATGGTCTCCAAGATGGCCCCAGGAGGCGCTCCATAGCTCCTAAGAGGGCCCCAAGAGAGCCCCAAGAGGGCCCCAAGAGGGCCCAATGAAGGCCCCAAGGCGCCACAAACGAGCCCTAAGAGGAACCCACGACCCCTCAAAGAGCCCCAAGAGGGCCCCAAGATGCCCCAAAAGAGCTCTCATGGGTAGGGCTCCTTATGGGCTTTGGGTGAATCCTCCTGCTTATCCTCATCCTCCTTTTCGTCCTCCCACTCTCCCTCATCATATTGTCCGTGCTCGTCCTCCTCATGTTCTGCCCTCTCCTCCCCCTGCTCCTCGTCCTCGTCCTGGCCTCCGCCCTCATCGTCATCATCCTCCTCGTCCTCCTCGTCCTCGTTATTGCCCTCATCGTCTTTTTCTTCATGTTCTTCCTCTTCCTCGTCGTCGTGGTCGTCGTCGTCGTCGTTTGCCTCCTCATGCTCCCCTCGCACCCGCGCGGGCCGTGGGGATGGCCCGAAGAGGCCCTCCGAGGCCACCCCTTTGCTCCCTGAGATCTCTCTTGTTAATCCTGGTTGTCAGCTTTGTTTCACTATATGTGCCTTTTCGTCCCTCTTCCCGTCAGCTCTCATGGGCAAGGCTCTTGAATGGGGTGGTGGGGATTCGCGAAGCGTAAACAATACGTAGTGTATATGGAACAGAGTCCACACGGGGGGACGGGGTTGACGGGGCGCCCCAGACCGCCCGGTCCAGCAGCCGTTTCGTAGGAAGCCGTTCCGCTTGATACCCTCGCAAATTATTTTGGAGTCGCGTTCTCGCCTGAAGGCCGGCTAAGCGCGTTTCTTGTCTGAACGGCCACGGCCCCCGTGTAACAAATCCACCCAGGTGCAGGTCTCGCCTCGATGCCGGCCCCATTCTCGGTCCAGACGGCCCCGATCCTCGTTACAGATCCTCAACGGTGCACCTGGTTGTGCCCTCGCCTCGGTGCCGGCGACACTGGTGGCCCAGACGGCCACGAGCCTTCGACGAGACGAGCACTATGGTGCACATGGCCGTGCTCGCAGCCCTGTCCCGGCTGCTCTCGCCCCCTGCCCCGCCCCCTGCACCCCTGTGGTTACTCGGGTGCGTCTGCCGGGATCTCCGCAGAGGGCCTCCCCGGGTGGCAGCGGCGGGGGAGGCGGCGAGCGCGCAGGCGGGGGAGCTCTGGAGCAGGCGCGGAGGTGCGGGCCGCGGTGGAGCCGCTGCCCGTGCGTCTGCGAATCGATGGGCTGGTCGTCCGTCCGTTCCCGCTGCACGCCTGGTCTTCAGGAAGGCCCCGTCAACGGGGCCGATGTGTGTGTGTGTGTGCGTGTGTGTGCGTGCGTGTGCGTGTGAGTGTGTGTGCGTGCGTGTGAGTGTGTGTGTGTGTGTGTGTGCGTGTGCGTGTGCGTGTGTGTGTGTGTGTGTGTTTGTGTTTGCGGTCTCTTAGTTTCATCCACTCCGATTACGAGCGTCGTTGAAGACAAGCAGCCGCGAACGATGCTTGCTGGCGTGGGACCCAAGCGCTGCTGCAGGCGGTTTGCGCTGTCGAAGAACACTCTCCGTTCGGCGATATATAGGATACACCCTGGTCATGTGGTGCATTCTGGGTGGCGCGGTCTTTTCGTTTATTCGTGGCGGAAGCGATCTGATCAAAGGTACGTAATCGGTGCTAGCTGCGGGGTGCAACCCATGATGTGCCACCTACGTAGTCCATAATGTCATTTCCCCGATTTCACGATCGATATATCGTTCGATATCGCATTCGGTCGGTCTCACAATCAACCAATCGACCTCGCAATGGTTATATATATATGTGTGTGCGTATATATATATATCGGCGTCAGTGCATACCGTTTCTACTTCATATCTTTTGGTCGTCCCCCAATGTGTTTGCTTGCTTTCCTTACGATATCACGATACATCTGCACATCAACTATGCTACTATGTTTCAAATATGTGAAACCGCGGGACAACCACACGCGAGTACGGGACATCCACAGAACAGCCATGGGACAACCATCGGGACGAGCCTTTGAACAACCACGAGACAACCACGGGTCAACCGGGGAAACCACGCACGGCCACGGGGCAAGCATTGGGCAGCCACGGCACAGCCACGGGACCACCGCGGGACAGTGGAGGGACATTCGCGGCACGCCCCATGAGCCACCGCCCGCCGACGGGGAGCAGCAAATGATGGCCCCCTGCCTCAACAAGACCGGGATCTCTCTCGTCTCTTCGCAGTTTCGCCGCGTACGCACGGCACACACACGTCACGAGCCGAAACCGAAATTGACTTTCTGGTTAGGGAATTCCTTCATTTCGATGCCACCCTTAACCTCCAATCTACGTACATGCATATACAGCGTAGACCACACTTCGGGTGATGAGGAAGCTTGGGCTTTCTTACGGCACCATGCTGTTTGTCTAAGGAGTCATAGGGGTCACCTACGGATCCCAGAGAATTTCCAGAGGAGCCCGAAAGAGCTTTTGAGCCTTTAGGAACGATCAAGACACGTTACGGATTTTCAGAGGAACCATACGGAGTCCCAGAAAGGATCCACAGATGATAGCCCAAGATGCAACAAACCTATTTTACTCCGCAAGTTGCAAAGATTATACAGCAAACGTGATGACATATAATGTTCCCTGGTTCGGATCGGTGCCAGTGTGTTGGGCTCCATCCCGGAATGGTTGGGATTCGGCCTGGTTGGAGTCCGTTTCATATTTGGCAACAGCCATGATTCCCAGATTTGCTATGCGGGAAATCATGGAGGCCTCGTGCAACTGGACGATCGCCCCGTACGATATTGGACGACGTCCGCGCGGCGATGTTCCGACGTAAGCCCAACGCAGATCCGACGTGAATTCGACGTACAGCGGAAACCCATGCCAGGGAATACCCTGCTTGCCTCCAGGGTGCACTGTTTTTTTTTCCTGGGTCTCGATGGTTTTGATATGGAAAGCGTGACGCCCCCATATAAAATTCAGATGACGTCCTGGAGTCTCAGGGTTGAGTTTCTTGTGGAAGGTTTCTTGTGGTCCAGCTCATAATGTCCACCCGACGTGAATCCGACGTAAAGTGGATCGCACGATGCCGCGCGAGGCCTCCAGTATTGTCCTCAAAACATGTGTCCTGGACGTTTTCTGGGCTTTCGGGTTTCGCAAGATCCATCTCGACCCGATCGATCCGATTCGGTGCCGATTTCGGCATGCCCGATCCGAGTCGATCCCGATTTTCCAACGATCTGCTGCGGCCTGATGCTTGCGTGGCGAAGTCGTGCATCCTGGCGCAGCCGGCCCGATTCGATTCTGATTCCGTGCCGATGCAGCCCGATCCGACGCACGTTCCGATTCGCTCCGACTCCCCGATGCGAGCGGGCTGATCTTGGCTTCCGTCGTTGGGGCAACCAAAAGGTATCGATACCGTTACTCTCTGGACCTCTCCTGGTGTGCGTTCTGACCAGGATTTCGAGGCGAATCCAGCTGTGGCGACGAGAGCCTCCGAGGAGGCCCAAAGAGGAGGAATCAAGAGAGAGGTAGCTAGAAGTAGAAACACCTGCATAAACATAAACTTTTGGCGCCCCGCGCGGATTTCTTGGGCCTGCGCAGAAAAGGCCACCTATCCCTAATGTTTTGGGCCCTCCTAGCTCAAGTCCCCACCCAAAGGGCTAGGGGTCCTTCTTTGGTCTCTCCTGCTCCTCCTCTGAGTCGTTGCACCGGCACGTCGCTGCGCGAGCCGCCCCTCTTCCAAGGCGTCCCCCGCAGCGGCGGGCGGCGACTGCGCCGCCGTCGTGCGGGCCGAGCTCGCAGAGCTCGCGCGCAACGGCGAGGCCCACGCCGCCCGCCAGAGGAGCGGGACGTGAAGGATGGGGAGGAGGAGGAGGAGGAGGAGGAGGAGGAGGAGGAGGAGGAGGAGGAGGAAGAGGAGAAGCAGGAGGAGGCGGAGGAGGAAGAGGAGGAGGAGGAGAAGGAGGAGGTGGAGGAGGAAAAGGTACCGATACTCGGATTTAAGAAATCCGCGCGGAGTGCCAAAAGTTTGTGTTTATATAGTTGTTGTTCGTTTTATAGCTACCTCTCCTTCGTTTCCCCCTTCTTGGGCCTCCTCGGAGGCTCTCGTCGCCACAGCTGGATTCGCTTTTGAATCCTGGTCAGAACGCGCCCCCGGAGAGGTCCGGCGAGTATCGGTATCGATCTATTTCGGTTTTCCCAGAGGGGGGGGGGAATTTTCTAGACAGCAATGGCGCCGATGCCTCTCCACATGTGCATGCCCTGTGCGACCCCAGTGTCGTGTGCGGGGGTCCCCTCTCGCACCAGCCTAGAAGACGCACAAGGGGTTGATGAGAGTCCAAATAGACACGATGCGTGCCACCCTCTGCTGTCCTCCTCCCTGCATGCCAAGAGAAGATTGACGGTCAGGTCTCCGAGGAGCGCCCGCCGATGCATCGGCGATGCGGTTCGATGTGTGGCTCTATTCGTTCCACGCCGAGGTTGCCTTGACATCGCCGATGCATCAGTAATGCATCGACGATGCGGCGCGATGGTCCGACCCCATCTACTCTAACCCATCCGGGAGGCCTCTAGAAGAGAAGGAGGAGGGCGAGGAGGAGGAGCAGGAGGAGGAAGAGGAGGAGGAGGAGGAGGAGGAGGAGGAGGAGGAGGGGGAGGAGAAGGAGGAGGAGGATAATCGGAACAGCAGGGGCAGGAGAGAAGAGGCGGGGGAAGAGGAGGAGAGGAGGAGGGGAGGAGGAGGAGGAGGAGGAGGAGGAGGAGGAGGGAGGAGGAGGAGGAGGAGGAGGAGGAGGAGGAGGAGGAGGATGGGGAGGAGGAGGGGGAGCAGAAGGAGGAGGATGGGGAGGAGGAGGCGGAGGAGGAGGAGGAGCAGGAGGAGGAGAATGAGGATGAGGAGGGGGAGGAGGAGCAGGAGGAGGAGGAGGAGGAGGAGGAGGAGGGAGGAGGGAGGGCGAGGAGGAGGAGGAGGATAATCGGAACAGCAGGGGCAGGAGAGAAGCAGGCGGGGGAAAAGGAGGAGGAGGAGGAGGAGGAGGAGGAGGAGGAGGAGGAGGAGGAGGAGGGGAGGAGGAGGAGGAGGAGGAGGAGGAGGCGGAGGAGGAGAGGAGGAGGAGGAGGAGGAGGAGCATGGGGAGGAGGAGGGGGAGGAGAAGGAGGAGAGGGAGGAGGAGGCGGAGGAGGAGGAGGAGCAGGAGGAGGAGAATGAGGATGAGGAGGGGGAGGAGGAGCATGAGGAGGAGGAGGAGGAGGAGGAGGAGGAGGAGGAGGAGGAGGAGGAGGAGGGGGAGGAGGAGGAGGAGGATAATCGGAACAGCAGGGGCAGGAGAGAAGCAGGCGGGGGAAGAGGAGGAGGAGGAGGAGGAGGAGGAGAAGGAGGAGGAGGGCGACGCTGACGCTGCGAGCTGAGTCGCCTGGAGCCCGGCCCGCGAGAGGCGGACGACGACGAGTGGGCCCCATCAAGCCACGACCCTCATACCTGGCGTTTACTAAACGGTCCTGGCCGTGCATTGCATTGGCTGGCCCTGTTCGATTCCCCTCGTCCGGCGCCCTTGCCAAAGGGCTTCGCTGGGTGGTCGTTGTGAGCGTGGCTCCTCTTCGACTAGACGTAAGAGTGACCCTTCAACAGAGTGACCCTTAATGCGGGCCCATGGGGTCTCCCGACCACCGAACGCGATGCGACAGTGGCGTCTTGCGCGCTTGGGCTTGCTTCCCCCGCGGCGTCCCCCAAGAGTCGCTCCTGCCCAGGGTCGCTCCTGCCTGCAGCCGACTTCTGCCCTCGGCTCGAAGTGACCCCGAAAGGCTCTGCCGGGGCCGCGTCTTTCGGAGGGCCGAAGCCCAGGCCCCTGCTCGTCGCCACACGAGCTGTCGGCGATCAGCAGGTCTGGCGGGGGCGGAGTCCTCATCGAAGTGGTCCACGGCGTCGGGCCTGCCTGTGGAGGGAGGGGGGGGGGGCATTCGTCACCATCGTTTGATCAACCCCGATCCCATCGCACAACCCCAGGTGGGGATATACCCTTCGAAACCCGAAGGAAGCGGCCGAGATCCCTGTCCAGGGGGGTAATTCGGCAAGTGGGGCCCACGCCACGCCTCTGGGGATAAGGGGTCGGTGACACGATGCTCAAGTCGGAGGGCAAAAGCCGTAGCAATGCTACGCTCGTCGGGTGGCCCCACTGGCGAGTCACTCTTCAAGGAGCGCCAGCTCTTGCGCAAGACGTGAATCACGCAGCTCGAGAAACGGCGCGCGTTTGACCGACACCCCTTACAGCCGGCCCGCAACACAAGGATGCGCGATACCCATCGGTCGTTGGAAGTAGGTATTTACAGATTCCCAGATTCCAACCTACTTTAAGTGCCTTGCTATTTCAATGATCGAGTGACTTCATCTTTTCCGTCCTCCTTAGGGGGTGGACGGAACCCAATCTACTTTCAACACCTTCCTGCTTCATGGTTCTACCTACTTCTTCCGACCGATGGGTAAGGATGCAAGGGCCTTGGAAGGCCATGTCGAAGCTTCTCGAGCGGGGCGCGGCCAACGAGAGCGGCCAAGGATGGACCGAGGAGGCAAGGATGCAAGGATGCACCCTTGGGGAAGGCTACCCCTCCTAACTCTGCGGATGGACGGTACCCCTCCCAGGCCATGAGATCCTGGGCTCCGGTCGCTCCCGCTCGTGCACGTCCTGCGGCTGCCGCTCCTCCTCCCCTCGGGGGCGGCGCGCCCTGCATGGGAGGGCCCGGCGGCCTCTCGGCCTGCAGTGTCTGTCGGCCCTGGTGGTGGTCGCCCTTTTCCAGCCTTTTCCCCCCCCTTCCTGCCCCCAGCGCGCGCGCCTCGTGGGGCCGTGGCGCTCCGCGGGGCCGGGGGGGCGAGGACCGACGGAGCAGAGGAAACTGCTTTGACATATGTGTGTGAGCTTTCGGAGCTCCGTGCGGGTGTCCTTGGATCTGCGCTGCGCCCCCCCCCGGCGGCGTCTCCGGCGCCGCCCCTGGCGCGCTCCGCGCGCCAGGGAGGAGGGCCCGGCGCGGATCCACGATAGCCGCGCGGACCTTGAAAAGCTATTATGTATGTGCAATTTTTTTTCTAGGGGAGGACGGTGGCGCGAGGCGGAGGAGGAGAGGGGAGGACGAGGGTGCGGTGAGGCGCAGGGGGAGTAGAACGCGTTAGCGCATCGAGTTCCTGAAGCGTGGGGGCTCGGAGGCGCCCTTGTCTTTCCTCCGCCTCGTGGCCTCCCTCCGTCTCGGCCCTTCCTCCCCGCTCTTCCCGCCCCCTCGTGGCGCTTCCATGGCCCGCCCTTTCTTTTCTCTATGTTGCTTCCTGCCCAGTGTGTGGACGTGAGAGCAGCGCGCGCAGCGTGCAAGGACGAGGGGCCGCCTCCCCGAGGCGCTGGTGCGGAGGGCCTCCCTGCGCTCGCTCGTCCTGGTGTCGCCCAGGGGCGACACCGGCGTGATCCAGGCTCCGCGTCCTCTTGGGCCGCTGGCGGATGGGAGGGGGCGCCAGGCATGGCTGCAAGCCGCACGCGCCGCTCGTGTCTTTCTGTGCTGCTGTTTTGTCTCGTGGGGAAGGAGATCGGTGCGATCGGAATGGGTACGGAAAGAGCGGGCACAAATATTGACAGCAGTTCTTTTCCAGTTTGGACCAGGGTTGCTGTCTTTGCCGCCGCGGGCCCCGTGCAATTGTGAGAAGGGCTCCAGCACAACAGCGGCCGCTGTCGGTTTCGGGCAACATCTGCGATTGAGAATCGTATCCGTTTTTGTCCGTGCGTACCCATTCTGGGCCGGGAAGACCAGACGGGACAAATGGGCGCGGACATGAATAAACGTTTATTCCCAGGAAATGATGGGGATAGCAGGGGAAGACGAGCATCTAGAACATTTCTAGCATGGGGGATCTGGGAATCATGTTTATTCATGTTCGTTTCTCTGGCCCCTTTCAGAGAAGAGGCCGAAGTCGTTCCGAGAGAGGCTGGATGTCAGAGGCTGTATTCAGGCTCCTCAGGGGGAGTCTGCGGATCGACGGGCTTCTTTTTATTTCATCGCCCACGGCTTGTCTAGGACATCTTGGGTGCCATGTTGCGCGGCTCGTGCGGATATTGCGACGTTGCGAACTGCCTCTGCGCTGATGGCAGCTGTGCCAACCTGATCCTGAAGCTCTGTTGCCGAAACCTGGTCCTCGCAGCGCGGTGGCCCCCACAAAAGGGTGGCCCGCGACTTCGGGGCGCTCCAGAACACCGTTCGTCCTCGAGGGATCGAGAAGTTGATGTCCTCTTCCTCTGCGGAGGCCAGCGGAAGTAGAGAACTGCCAGCGGAAGGGAAGCTGGCGGATACGAATGCGAGACATGAACATTGTCGGATTCAGAGTTTCCATAATCTGCCATTTATCCATCTGCTTGTGGCAGGTTCCGCCGGTGTGCTAGCGCAGATTGCTGTCTGGCGGCGCGTCGAACGCCGCCGAGGAGGCCGCAACGTGTGCCATCTCTCGTGTCTATGTCTGGTTGTTTGACGGGGTTCTCATGATGGCCTGGGCCGTCTTGGACCCTCCTTCCTTGGAGCCTTCTCGGGGCTCTCTTCGGCTGGCTTGGTGCACTTTGGGGCCTTCTCTGGGCCCTCTGCGGGCTGTCCTTGGCCATCTGGGGGGCCTCTTTGGGACCCGCCTGGGGCTCCTTTGAGCTCTCTTTGGGACCTTCGCTTGGAAGCATCTTGAGCCGAGAAGCCCGAGACACTCAACATATTCAATACTTGAGAATGTCAGCTGGGTTTGGGGCTAGGTTGGGTTTCATGGACGGGCTTTGGGCTTCATGTTTGCTTATTTGGACGCCTCTTGGGCCCCCTGTGGCGCCTCTCTTGGAGTCTTCCTGTGGGCTGGTGGGTGCCTCCTGATGCAATGTTGGGCCATCTTGGCGGCCATTCCTGGGCTGGTCTTGGAAGCCACTTCGAGCCTGGGAGAGCTCCAGGGTCGCCCAAGCCTCGGGAGGGAGCGGGGGATGCGCGCAGCACTGCGTGAGGAGAGGGGGGGCAAGCCTTGGAAGATCTACAGACACCCTACATGACGGCACTCTGGCGGAGCCCGTGGAGCCCAGCCCACCGGAGTGTGTGGGCGAGCGGTCCTCGGGCACTCTTGCTGTCTTGCTTCGGGCAGCTGCTCCAGTTCCGCTCGGAGCTTTCTCCTCCGGGGGTGCAGTCGGGCATGTCCCTCTGCAGGAGGGACATCCAGAAGTGGTCCAGAAGTAGTCTTGGGACGATCTTCGCCTTACTATTTTTGACAACTCTTGAATATGTTTGACTTCTTCTCGTTCTTCTTCCAAAAACCCGCCTGGGATCGAGCGGAGGAGCAGGCTGCGGAGGAGCCGCAGAGCCGCGCCACGTCCTCGCGGGGGCGGGCCGCCTCATGGGCCAGCCCCATGCCTCCCGAGGCCCTGGCGGGCGCCCTGGAGGACCCGGTCGTCGAGGTCCGGGCGAGCGCCATGGAGATGCTGCCCAAGGCGGGCTGCAACGGGACAGGTTCCCAGGCAGGATCGCGTCGTAAAGAAAAACAATCAGGGCGGCAGAGTTTTTTCGCTATATCCTCGGCCCCGCGGGGCCCTCGCCGGGCCCCGGGACCGTCAACAAAACGATTCAGGTTGAAAAACGGGCCCCGGGGATCGGGTCTGGACTCCCGGGGACGCCGCACTGAAAAAGTCAGGGCGTCGCACGTTTGGGTGGCACAGTGCCCGAGCAGTGCCGGAGGGCCAGTCTTATGGCCGCACCTGGCGTTGCTCTCCGGCGCCGCGCTCCCGAGCAGTGCCTGGAGGGCGGGTGCTGGAGCGACCTCCCGCGTCCCCTGCGCAGTGAATCTCCTGCTCCCACATCTGTCCCCCCCCCCCGCTTCCGCTCCTCCTCCTCCTCCTCCTTCCCAGAGATCCTTGCTTGTCGTTCGCTCCTTCCCAGAGATCCGAGGATCCAATGTTTTCCAACCCGCCGTGCTTTCCTGGTTCTCGGCCTCCGAGGCCCGGGTCCAAAAAATGGATCCAGGAGAACATCACGCAGTGGCGAAGCGTCCTGGCTCGCCTATAGCCCTACCAAACAATGTTCTAAGAACCTTTTGCGGTTTCCACGAAATGTTCTTAGAACATTTCTGACGGAGTCTGTCTTGTTTTAACACATCGGTTTATGTTCTAAGAACATTGTTTTGTTGTTCGAACATTATTGGGTTCTAAGAACATTTCGTTGTAGGACTATAGGAATGCCGGGACGGTCGGCCCCTGCTCAGGAACAACTTTCGGGGAAGGGGACGGGGCCTCGGATTGAAAAACACATATCGGCGGATGTCTGGGCTCGCCGATGGGACCCTTGGGAAGGCTTCGCCTGCCGTGGCTCCGCGGGAAGTGGGGGTGGGTGGGGAGGAGTACTGAATATCGAGCAGAGGAAGGAAGCTGAGAAGGAGGAATTGAAAAAGGACGAGCACAATGATGAGGTGGAGGAGAATCGGGAGTCGGAGGGGGAGGAGGAGGAGGAGGAGGAGGAGGAGGAGGAGGAGGAGGAGGAGGAGGAGGAGGCGCAGGAGGAGGAGCGAGAGCGCGTACGCCAGCGCGCTTCGCAGACCAACCACCACAGGGGGGTGGGGTCCTGTGGTTCTCGCCCCTGCCTGGGGGACTCGTCGGCTGGGACGCCCTTTCTCTCTCTCTGTCTCTCTCTCTCTCTCTCTCTCTAGAGAGAGAGAGAGAGAGAGAAAGAGAAAGATCCTCGATGCGACGTGCCACCCGTGAGGGTGACGGAGACGGCGGCGTGTCGGCATCGCATGTCGCGCCGCGCAAGGCGCCAGTCTTTGGGGGCGCTTGGAGGGGGAGGCCTTCGAATCCAGGCGGGCGGGCGAGCCACCGGGCGCTGCTGCAGGCGGGGCCCTGTGGGCACCTGGTCGTGGCCCCTGCCGAAGGAGCCAGCCTTGAGTCGGGCCTGTCCCTCTGCAGGAGGAACATTGAAAAATGATCAAAAAAATAGTCTGGGGACGATTTTGGGATTGTGTTTGACTATTTCTGCACATTTTTGACTCTTGTTAATCTTTCGCCCGAAATCCGCCTGCAGGAGGACATGCCCGACCTAACCCGGGGGCTGCCGAAGGAGCCAGCCCGGACATGCTCGCGTCGTGAAGACATCAGGGCGGAAGTTGTTTCGCCGTGTTCGGCCTCTGGAGGCCCTCGTCGGGCCCCGGGACCGTCCACAGATCGAGTCAGGATGAGCAGTTGGTTGGTGGTCTCCAAACCAGGTGGTGAGACACCCGGTGGTGACCCCGATTCCCCCCCAAAAAAAACCTGGGTCACCACCGGGTTTGGGGACACGCGGTCGCCACGAGGTTTTGCGTTTCCTGGGCCAGCCAGCGCTTGAAAACCATGACCCAAATCGCCCAAAACTCACCACCGGGTGTTCTCACCACCACGTTTGGGGACCACCAAGATGAGCAGTTGGTCCAGGGGGACGGGTCGGGACTCCCAGGGGCCCGGGGCTGAAGACATCGAGGCAAGGCATTCGCATGTCGAGGGGGGCCCTGGGGCGTCCGAGGGAGCCAGCCTTGCCTCCTGGCAGGGTCGCTCTGGCCACGGCCTGCGGTGCCTGGGAAGGGCCCGAGAGAGGGTCCTGAGACGCCGAGCAGCACAGGACTCGTAACCTCGCATTTCGAGGAGAGGATCGACTACAGGATCGTCGTCGTCGTCGTCGCCGCCGTGCGCCCTACGCCGAAAGCTGTAGGCCGTCGTCGTTGTTTTCGGCGGCGGCGTCGGCGTCGGCGTCGGCCGTCGTCGTCGTCTTCAGCTGCGAAGAAGCACATTGAATTTGCGCAGGTCTACGATCCCTTGTGTCGATTCGACGAAAGTTTCAATTAAGGGGTAAAACAATTCTGCAGTCGATCTCCTACTCGAGCTCTCCAATAATCACGCCGCTGCACAGACATAACTGCTCGGAGGCCCGCGCGGATTTCTTGGATCGGCGCTGGACCCCGCTGGCGGCGCCTCGGGCGCCGCCCCCTGTGCGCTCCAAGCGCAAGGGGAGATCCGAAAGTCCATGCTCATATGGAGCGTTCCAGACAAGGGCCTTGCCTTCGAGGATCGAAGGAGCTGTCATATCTTACTCGGTGGAAGGCGGCGGAAGGCTTGCGGAAGGCTGGCGGAAGTAAAACGAGGCCGCCTCCGCCGGCGGAAGACTGGCGGAAGGCGGCGGAAGTAAATGCACCCCCAAGAGATGGAAACGTTTTGGGTTCAGCGTTTCCGGAATGCGCCATATGCAAGAGTTGTTCCTCTCTTGCCGAGGGTTCGGGCCTCCCTTTTTCCAGAATCGGGGAAGCCCGAGGGGAGGCACGTTCTCTCTCGTCGTGCCCTGGGGATGATCCTCCACACTCGACCTTCTGGTCTACTATGGACGCCTCCGCCCCAGGGCCCCCCGCAGGCCTCTGGGGCCCCCCGTCGGGGGACCCTCTGGGAGGGGCCGGGGCGGGGGCACGGGGGAGGGGGGGGCTCGGGGGGGGAGCCTTGCATGCGATGCTGGGCCCTTCTGGTAGGAAGTGTGGCGAGTCACCCTCACGTCGTGCCGAGAGGGGGTGCCGTCCCACTGCCGCGGCCCCTCCAGGTGGCCGACAAGGGCGACTCCGCGCTCCTGGCGGCCGTCGCGGTGCGGCCGGCTCGCTCCCCCCCCCCCCTCCCAGTTACATGCTCGCACCGTGCAAAACTCAGAGCGGGCGGTTTTCCGCTGTTGCCGGCCGCTGTCGGCCCTCGCTGGGCTCTGGGGCCGTCGAAAGACGGCTCAGGATGGGAAATGGGACCGTCAAAAGACGACCCAGGATGAGAAACCGGCCCCCGGGAACGGGTCGGGGCTTCCAGGCACCACGTACAGAAAAAACACGGGACGCCGCATGTCCTCGCGCAGAACAGAAGGCACCGATGCCGCTGGTCGTCTGGGAGAGCCCTCGTCACCACACGGCTGAGTCCTCCTCGAAGTTCTGGTCGGAATGCGCCTCCCGGGAGAGGTCTGTGGAGCAGCGGTACATCGGGAGCGGAAAAGAGGGGGGTGATGACTAGCGGGGGGGGATTTCATGGCGCGGGCCATGATTTTTCCTCAGATTTCATGGCGCCTCTTCTTATTTCATTACGTCCCTGGCCTCCCCGCTGGGCCGCGCTCATGCCGCCGGTCATGATTTGCACCCCCCCCCTCTTGGACACCCCCCTCTTGGCCGCTCCCGAGGTATAGGTACCTCCTCGCTTCCCCACTGCCCTCCCGCCCCATGGCCAGCTCGGCCCGGGGGGGGGGCCCTCCCGTGGCCTCCTGGAGCCTCACGGGCAGCCTCCCGGAGCCTCGCGGGGCGGCCTCCCGGAGCCTCCCGGGGGCCTCGCGGTGATTTCGGGGCCCGCGAGCGCCTCGCGGGGTGGTCGCCTGGAGCCTCCCGGCCCCTCCCCGTCTCGGCTGGTGCTGGTGAGCGATGAGCACGCGCGCGCGCGGGAGCAGCTTCTCGGCGTCGGTCCTGCGCGCATCGGCGGAGGCGGGGGCACACCAGGGATCCAGGCCTCCGCGGGGCTTTGGATCTGGCAGGAGCTGGCCCGACCACGTCATCCGCAGCAGGGTTGGCATGGGCCCAGATTTTGACCCGCGCCCAAATCAGTACCGTGCGCTCGCGAGCGTGAGGAAGTTCCTCGTTATTCACGCCCTCGCCACCTCCGCTGGTGTCCCGGTATGACCTCAGTATTCTCCTGCTGTGATTTCTTCTCTTCCCTCCTTCCCTCCATCTTGCCCTATGTGCCGTGGTCCTCCCTCGTCCAGGAGACACCGATACAGCCATTCCCCAGACCTCTCCCCGAGTGCGGTCTGTCCAGTGTTCCGAGCCGTGGCGACGAGGACATCCCAAGAGGTCCAAAATTGCAAAGAACAGGGGATGGCATCGGTATCGGCATGTTTCCCAGATCGTCCTGCTCCTTCTCCTCAATCCCTCCCCTCGCACGGCCGTCGTCTTCGTCGTCGTCGTCGTCGCCGCCGCCGCCGCCGTCGTCTTCGTCGTCGTCGTCGTCGTCCGACTCTCTCCCCAGGAGTAGTTTTTGGCCCCGCGGGCCAATGTTTGACCCTGGGACTTGAGCATGGCCCCTTCAGGCCAAAATTGACGAGAAGACCGCAAGGATGGCAGAACTCAGTCCGCCTGAGGTCTGAGTCCAGGTCCTCCTCTTTCGGCTACCCCCGCCTCCTCCTTCACCTCGTGCAGCTAGTGTTTCTCCCTCCTCGCACCCTCCCTTTTTCATCCACAACCCCCGGCTTTGTGGCCAAAACTCTTGGTGGGAATCCAGCCGCGGCGACGAGAACTGTTGCAGATGTTTGCGTAGAAAGGGCAAAGGGCGCTCAGAAATTTCGTACCTCTATCCTTACGAGGGGTGCTCTCCCCCCATCCTCCATCCCTCTCCCCCTCCCCCCCTCCTGCTCCTCCTCCTCCGCCTCCTCCTCCTCCTTCTCCTCCTCCTCCTCCCCGGTCCACGGTCCGCTCGAAATCAGCTCCCAGACACCTTCCAGGGTCCATTATTGCAAGGCTTGTGTAAATTCAGGGATCGATGTCTGACGGTCTTGGTGCTCGAGACAGAGTTCCAGATGCAGAACATTGGAAAAAAGCGTGCTCGATCACATGAGTTCGGTTCTGGCGAAGTCCTCGAGCATTGACCCCTGGACGGTGACCTGTCCTGGCACGTCCTGGCTTGCAATACAGCGCGAATATCGAGGCGAATGCAGCCGTGACTACAAGATGAAGGCTTCGCGACGCCCGGAAAGGCAAAATAAACCCAGACACAGTCAAAACAGATGATAAAGATGGGAAGCCTTCTCAAGGGTATCCATCCTTGCCTTTTTAGTACTTTCTCAACCACTTTCGACAGCCAGCCCCGCTCGAAAAGCTTCGACATGCGCGTCCAAGAATATGGTATTTTTATTGCGCACCCTTGCTATCAATCCTTGACTCTTTTGCGTCTCCCCACCAGCCCATCCAGAAATGACCGCCAGGCGAGTTGCCTTCATCAGGGAAGGGTAGAGGCATGCAGTGAAACAACCGCCTTGGAAGCGTTTCGGGAGCGCTGAAACGTCGGGAGCAGGTGTGGAATGATTTAACACACGTTCCCATGCCGCACCAGCTTGGGGTCCTCTGGGGGCCCTCTGGGAGATACCTTGGGACACTCTTGGGGGAGGCTATCTTTGGCAGCAGGAGGAAGAAGGAGGTTAAGAACACGAGAGGAGGAGGAGGAGGAGGAGGAGGAGGAGGAGGAGGAGGAGAGCAAGAAGAGAACGAACCAGTAGAGTGATAGAGGGCGGAAGAAAGAGACGACGATGAAGGCGGCGACGACAACGATGAGTCAACCATAAATCCTTCGCGGAGCTTTCGATCCACGAGCCTTTTGGAAGAGGCATAGCGGAGCCATTCCGCAGGGAAGCTTTTTTGGCCCTATTCCGGCCTTCTTGGAGCCTTCTTGGGCTCTTCCCGGGGGTCTGGGAGGGCTCTTGAGGCCGTCTTTGGTCATGGCCATGGCTCAACAAGGAGGGGTGGATGCATTCAGGGCTCCCCCCCCCTCCCTGGAGGCTCAAAGGTGGCGTCGTGCGGCCGTCGTGGGGCGTTCTTCGGTGCCTTTGGGGCGCTCTCGGGGCCGTCTTGGGGCCGTTGTTGGGCCCCTCAGGGTGCTCTCCTGGGCCACTTTGGGACCACCCTGAGGCCTGAATAGCAAATCGGATTCGAAAAAACGCGGAGGCACAACACATTGATTTAACATAGGTTTGTTGAAGGATGTTACCATCTTCGGAGGGTCATGAGGGAACTCCGAAAGCATAGTGTAACCGCGTGCGGGCGATAATACAGCACCCCCCCTTTCCCCCGATTTTTTTGTTTAAAATAAAAAAAACTGTGGCCAACAGGATTTAATTGTGGAGGAAGGCGCGGAGGCCGAACTTTATACTCCACGGGAGAGTTGCGGGGATCGAAGTTGCTATCATATCATGGTGACCAGCAGCAGTATCAAAAATACTGAGCATAGCCGTGGTGGTCTCACCACACCAGCTTCCGCAATCTCGAGCGTGTGGCAGGGCTGTGGGGTTCTCACCAGTTCAGTTCGTCCACGTTACGAAGGCGCGGCAGGGCCATGGCATTCTCATTTTCTTAGCCGTTCCCGAGTCAGGAAGGCGTGGCAGGGCCATAGGGACCGATTGGATTTTGATTGTGCATGTGTTTTTCGAGCATTCAGTTGTTCTCTTCTTTCTTTTCCTTCTGTTCCTCTTCCTTCTATGTTTCGGATCGAAGTTGCGATCGGTTCGTGCCGACTAGCAACAGCTTTAAAACTGGTTTGCCTTCTCTTCCTTCTTCCTTGCCTTTCGCTTCTTCTCTTCCTTCTTCCTTTCCTTTTGCTTTTTTTCCTTTTCCATTTCTCTTCCTTCCGCCCCCCCCCCCCCCCAGGGGCCGAACTTTTTTTATCTCCGGGCTGTTTTTATCCCCCGCGGGGCCCCACCATGGACCCCATGCGTTCGTGAAAACGATGAAAAAGAATATGTTGTTACACATAAAAAACAAAAGGCCCCGAATCCAAACATTTTCTCAAAATCGATCCTGGGGCCATCCTCTTCTCTCTTCCGTCTCCCACCATTATTATTTGTTTTTCCTGCCCGTGCTCCTATTAGTAATATTACAATCAACCCGCGTGGTAGGGATGAACAATCACGGCGGCCGAGCCGAAGTACGCCACCTACGAGGAGGCTAGCATCGCCGCCCAGCCTTGCACCCAGTGTCTCCCATGCATGGACGGCTCCAAAGGATGCCGTGCTTGCATGGGAGACAAATCGAAGTCCAGCGCAAGAGGGGTTTCTTGGCCGGATCGGCCAAGGACCTCTTGCGCTGGCAAAAAGTAGGCGTTTGTTTAGCCACGAGCTTCGAGATCTCTCGAGTCAACCGTGTGTCGCGCGCCAGGTTAAACCTCCTTTTCCTCCTCCCTCATCGTCATTTTCGTCGTCAGCATCCTCCTCATCATCATAACTTAACTTCCCCGGGGAATCCTTTATTATCACCGCGGGGACCGCGACAATTATTATCCCAGGGTTTTATGATCGCCCGCACACGGCTACCGTCTTGGAACGATTTTGGAGCCTCTAAGAGGTATGTCGGAGGCAATCCTCAGCCATCTTGAGGTATTCTGGGCCACCTTGGAGACCATCTTGCGTTCTATGAGGCCCTGTCGGGGCCATCTGAGGCCATCTTGGACGCTCTCACCGATGGCGCCCCCCCCGTCGAAGCCCAGGGGAGGGGGGAGGGGGAGGGGTCAACCGACCCACCCGCCCGCAAGCCTTGTAGCTCACGCCCACCCGCCCTCCCAACACACAGCTGACACCCGGGCTTGAGCATGCTCGGCTGTCATATTTTAATGGACGGCTACTGGGAACCAAAGCCGACCCCAGGTGCGCGACGCTTGACTGAGGCGCGCCACGCGTGCCAGAGGCGCAACCGCGCGCCAGGCACCCCTGGGGCCAAGCGTGCCAGGCACGCCTGGGGCGCCAGATGCGCCACGTGCCCCGCGTGCGCCAGGTGTTCCGCATACGCCAGCTGCGCCAGGTGCGCCACGTTTGGGGCACGTGCAGAGTGCGTCAGGTGCGCCTGCGCAAGTGACAGCACACATCGGGGA